CACACACACACACACACACACACACACACACACACACACACACACACACACACACACACAATCAGTTTTATGTTTGTTTGTTTTCCACTTGTTGTGTGTCCTCTCTCTGATATTTTTCTAAGTAATTTTGCTTACCCAACTGAGCACCCTTAAGTAGTGCCAAACAGTCGGTGGTTCCTCGTTTGGAGTGCCAACTGCACTTTTAGGGGGGCCGCTTGGTTCGGGTGATCTGTGTTGCCTGTAGGTGATGACCGATACTCGTCGGAGTGTCTCCCTGGCTTAGTGGGTGGTGGGAACCAAAAGTCTATAGGGATCAACCGTGATGTGAGTAGGTCATGCGCTGCTTTGCTCCGTGTTGGATGTGTGGACTGCCTCGTCTGCGCACCACCGCCGCCTTGCTGCCTGTCCCGCTTGCTTTGCATGTTGCTCTCTGCAAGTTGCTGTGTTCACTGTGTAGTGTGGTTGTGTTGTCGGTGTTGCCTTGCGCTTCGCTGCTCCGCTGCCTTGCTGCCCACTCGCTGGCCGTGCCTTCCGTGTTTCCGCGCTGCGCGCCATGTCTTCCTTGCAGTCGTTTTTGACGTTTGGCAGTCGTGTTGCCTCTACTGTGCTGCCTCGTGCTCCACAGGGTCACCGCCCGCTGCTGTGTTCCACTTGGAGACAATCTGGCTTCAACATGGGTCAAAGGATTCATGACCCAAACCATCTAATACGGACATTCCTGCAGATTGTTGAGGGTTCAGCCTCCTGATGAGTCGGTCCAATTCCGACGAAACAATCTTCTCATCATCTGTTTTTATTTTTCTCGGTCTTCCGATTTGCTTGAGACTTGCACTTTTTTTCGGTTTGCCTGTCTCGGTGTGCTTGTGTGCCCCTTTTGTGTTCTTGTATGTTGTCTGCCGTCCTGCCTCCCCCGTGCCCTCCAACCTATGCTGTGATGTCTTTTTGCTTGCTTTGCTCTGATGCTTTTCTTGTTTGCCTGGCCTCGGTGTGCTCGTGTGCCTGTTTTGTGTTTGTGCATGTTGTCTGCCCTCCCGCCTCCCCCGTGCCCTCCAACCTATTGATGTCTTTTGCTTGCTTTGCTCTGATGCTTTTTTTGTTGGCCTGGTCTTGGCATCCCCTTGGGACCTCTTTGTTTTGCTTTTTTTGGTTTGCCTGTTGGTGTGCTTGCACGTTGTCTGCCCTCCAGCCGTTGTAGTAAGTGCACTTGACTGGGAGGCGTTGGAAYGCATCCTAGGGAGGTCATGTTGAGTCTGGTCCMTGAACACAATGGTTTGARCTAGAGAAATCTRCCCACCTWGGACTCATGTTTACCGGTCTGGCGTTCCCCATTCGAAACAATTGATATGGTGTCCACGTCTCGTGGGCTGAAGCGACAACCATGGTGTGCTTACACACACCCCTACACACACACACACACACACACACACACACACGCACACACGCACACAACGCAACTGCTAAAAACGACAGAGCCCCCCCAATAGAACGCACATCCATTATGGGTGTATCTCGACAAAAAAGTCCTTCAAAAGATAACAGCCATAATGGTGGTGCTTTCTCTTCAAGGGCCCGGAAAAGGCCGTTGCCGGCCTCAAACGGCCAGGTGCCAAAATGCAAAGATGACCCGGTCTGAAAGGGGTAAAATGAAAATAAAATAGGGCCTAGGAAAAGCTGGCAAGTACCTGGACATTTTGCAAAGATGGACAGTACCCGGTAGGGGTATTTTGCAAAGATGACGGTTCCAACCGACGCCAGGTGCATTTCGCAGAACATTTTCTGCATCGGAGGGGTATTCCGCTCCACCCACATCTTTTAGGGGCATTTTGGCATATATCTCAACTTATAGGGGTATTTCGCAAGTTATCCCTAAATCAAATTCAAAAAGTAAAACAGAAATGGAAAGAACAGTCTCCTAGCAACACACACACAATCCTTTTCCCACCCAAATGCCCATGGTCCCTCGATTCTGGGCTAGGGACCAGTAAGGTAAGGACCCTCTTGTTTTCTTCCTTTTGTTGACACTCTTTGTGAGTGACAGAGGGGCTCGTTCGACACTCCTCAGGGCGTCCTCGGGCCCCGAGGACGATTCCTCGGAGTCGCCCGAGGAAATTCCCGCATTCATTCCACTCATCCTCTAAGACGTCCCCCGAGGACAAATCCTCGGGGATCCCGCGACCAGAATAATATGTGTACAACCGGACGCGGGGGTGGGGCCGACGGTGGTCCATGGAGATGTGTTCGTGCGGACGGCGTTGGTCCACCTTTGTTGGGCGTCGCGATTTCGAACGACGACGGCTTTCGAAAATGAAGGGGCCATTGGAAAAGGTGCGCAGCTCCTCCGTTCGAAATTTGAAATTCGTATTTTTGCAATGCGAGTGGCGGCGCGTATAGGACATCGTTTTTTTAATTTTACGGTATCAGCGTCCAGCGTTCCGAGGCGTTTGCTTAAGTGACGACGATGCACGCACCTGTGCCCCTTCGAAGAGCAGAGATACCATCGACTTGTCGCCATCTTTGCAGGTTGACGTCCGTCGTTGTCGCGTGGCGTTCAGGGTTGTATGGCGAGGCGGCGCAGTCTTCTTCCGCGTGGCGGTGTTCTTGGAGTGTTGTTTTCATATTTGCGTCCATGCCCACTAAAGTGGCGTCGGGGATGGATATCGACGGAGAGAATGTCCGTGACGTGTTGACGACGGCGGAGAGGACGTCCGTGACGTGTTGACGACGACGGAGAGGACGGTCGTCGCTGCGGCCGTCCATGTCGTCCTGTTTCGTTGCCAAATGAAGAGCTGCGAGGGGAAGTTGAAAGTGGTTGTTTGTGCATGCCGCAAGCTGATGGCGCTGCCGGCGACTGGCGATGGCTTCGACATTGGTGCCATTTCGAACGCCATCCTGCAGGTGTGCTACGCGATGGGGTGCGGCGCATTTCCACGGGCGACTCCAAGGTGGTGGATGAAGCAACGAACGGGGGGTATCGGCGGCAATGTGATGACGCCACAGTAGATTACTTCAAGGAGGGGCTGCAAATGTCACCACATGTTTTCCACGAGATCGCGGAAACTCTTTCTCCATACCTGCAATGCTGTGTGACGTTCTACGGGGTGCCGTTGCAGCCAGACCAAATCGCCGCGTACGCTCTGTGTAGGTGGGCGTCGGGGGAGACACATGACAGCGGGACGTGCAGCTTCCACATTGGTAGGTCTTCCGGCTTGACGGCGGTGCGGGACGTGACTGTTGTGTTGCTGAACTCGTACCCCGACAAGATATCCTGGCCCACTGGTTCGCAAAAGGCGGTCATCTTGCGCGCATTCGCCGACAACGGTTTTCTGAACTGCCATGGGTGCATCGACTGCACCCACATCTACATCGACAAGCCCGCCAATGCCAACGGCGAGGACTACTATGACAGGAAATGTCGATTCTCCGTCCAGACGCAAGTGGTCGTTGATATGAACTTGCACATGCTGGATGTGTTTATCAGTTATCCGGGAAGTTGCCACGACGTAAGGATCGTCCACCTGTCGAGTTTATGGGCGCGCGTGGAGGCAGGGGAGCTTTTCATTGGGCCATCTGTCATGCTGCCTTTAGGTGTGCGGACGAACGGGTACTTGCTGGGTGACAATGGTTATCCCACCTCCGAGTGGATAGTCGTCCCGTACGACGGTCTCGCGCAACACCCGTATGAGGCACACTTCGACAACAAACAGAAGATGGCGAGGGGAGAAGTAGAGTGGGCATTTGGCAGACTGAAGGGGATGTGGAGGTTGTTCTTCCGCACCCACAAGCGCAACATGGACACCGTGGCGCAGCATTTTTTCGTCGTCTGCATCCTGCACAACATATTGATCGACGCAGGCATTCCGTTTGACGACAATCTGTTGTGGGAGGTGGGTCCGGACGGCGTGCGTCGTAGAGTTGATCTTGGGATACATAGGCCATTAAGGCCGGTGTGCATGGAGTCATCAACGGAGGATGCGCTACTCTTTAGGGACGCGCTGGCGGATTGAATGAGTGCACAGTGAGGATGGCCATGCGTGCATGTCGAGACCCCGTGATCACCCACATGCGGCAGAAGAGCGGAGCAGACCGAAGCGGGGAGGCACCGAAGAGCTTCTACGGGAGACTGCGGCGGGAAAGAAGGGGAGGTCCGCTTCCCTCATCCATTGCCGGTGTCGTATCGTCACGAGAATGTTGTCCTCCAGTCTGCTGCCGTTGGGATGTGCTTTTCTGTTCTCGTCAGGCGCCGTGTTCATCATCCGGGTGTCATCTACGTTGTCGTCATTCTTGCTGCCGTCTTCTGATTTTTGGCGGTATACTGGAGGTGTGGTAGCATCGTTGTGGGTCCGCGTGCACGACGCGTCTCTCGCTGCCAGTGTGCGTAGGTGTCTTCATTTGTGGCGGTAAAGGTTGTAGATTTTTTTTTTTTTTTTTTTTCCCTTGTGTATTTTTTGACTGCGCGGGCACACACACAATGTCGGCGGCGCTGGTTTGTTCGACACCGCTAGTGGATGTCATTGTCGGCAGAGGCGACGTGACGTGCTTGCATGTCGCAGGCGTGTTTTGTAGTTGTGAAGATGGTGCACGACGAAGGGAGGGGGGAGGGGGGGGGGGGGGGAACGTGTCTGGGCGCCGGGTTGGCATCTGTGTACGGCATGACTTTTTGTGGGAACTTGGAAATGTGATTGCCTTCGAGGGATTTTCCCTTTTTTGACGACAGTGTATCCTTTGCTTATACTGGTGTGAGCCCAAGTGATGCCGCTGCATGTCATTTGCTTATTGCGTACGAACAATGTTCGATTGTGTTTATTTGTGATTGAAAGACAAATGATTTTATTGCGTCATGACGACGTATGTGTGTGTATGTGTGTGTGTGTGTGTGTGTGTGTGTGTATGTGTGTGTGTTTCATGTGCCATGGCGTCGATTAATGCATACTTTTGGATGGTTCGCATGACTGTCCATCACTTTCTCGCCATCAACCTTGAGCATTCAATATCACATTCACATACTGCAATCCCTGTACCAATCCATCCCGGCTCACATTTACATCCACAAAGTGCGAGGATGAAGAAGTGAAGGAAAGTGCAAGGATTGAATGAAATCAAATCGCAAGGATGAGAAGAGAGTTCGTTGCAAGAATTTCTCGCCATCAACCTTCACCATTCAATGTTTTGACAAATCAATCCACGCTCACATTTGCATTCACACAGCGCAAGGATGGAATGGACAATGAAAGCAGCGCACAACTGTCAACTTCATTAAGATAATAACATGGAAGGATGTTCGCTTGACCACCAACGAACATCGATTTGTCCGGTCGGAAGACAGAACAGACAGATGAGGGGAAAAAAAAAAAAAAAAAAAAAAAAAAAAAAAAAAAAAAAAAA